AAATTAGCTACAAAAGTAAAAATGTTACTTTTTATCTCTCTATTTCCCATCTGAATGGAAGAGGTATTATCCACTTGCGGACCACCCATCTGCAATGTACTGCAGATGGGCAACCAATGCAGGCAAAGCGATGTACTGGTACCAAGGTTTAGGGCATGCACATGTGTGCCCCCCCCGCAGACATCCACTCTGATTGTATACAGTGGGAGTCTGTCAGCAAGTACCGACCAATTGATTCATGGCCGGGACCTGCTGATCAGGTGTGTCCAATCACAGCTCAGAGCCCTGTATTGACATTCAATACAGGGTTCTGTAAAGAGGGATGAGAAACAAAGAGATCTCTTAGTAAAAGCAGCACATAATACACACATTACACATTGGTAGGCACACATTTAACCCCTTGATCTTCCTAGATGTTAATCCCTTCCCTTTGTTTTACAGTGACAATGTATATTATTATCACTGATCAATGTATTAGTGTCACTGGTGATGCCAGTGGCAGTTAGTCAGTTCCCCCCATTGTCAGTTATTGTCAGATTGCCCAGTGCATTATCGCAGTCTCGTTATAAGTCGCTGGCCACTGCCATTAGTAGTATAATATACTGTATATATAATATATATATATATATATATATACCATAGTTTGCAGATACTATAACTTTCATGCAAACCAATTATACCATACTGGGATTTTTTTTTCATGCAAAGACATGTAGCAGAATACATTTTGGCCAAAATTTTAAAATGTTTTTTATAGGATATGTTTTAGGCTAGGTTCACATCTGTGCAGGTTGTGGTTTATGCATTTTTTTCCAGAGCACTTTGTGGTGCATTTTGCATTTTTGAAGGAGCATTTTTTTATGTTTTTTTGATGCGATTTCCATTTTTTTAATCTAATAGAAAAGTATCACAATTCTGTTTATGTGATGCGACATTGATGCAACTTTGACACAATTTTACACTCTGGCACCCAAATCATATCAAATAGTGCAGGAGCCTTTATGTGCCCAAAGTCACTTTTTTTAGCCAATAGGAAAGTATTACAGTTCTGTTCATGCAGTGTGAATTTGATGCAACTTTACAGGCTCTGGCATTCAAGTAGCATCAAAGTTGAAATGTAGTGTAGGAACTTTTTATGTATCCAAATTCGCAGGTTAGGGTTAAATGTTAGGGTTAGGGTTAAGGGATACGGTTAGGGGTAAACATTAGGGTTAGTAGGTAATCATTAGGGTTTGCAAAAAAATTGTTAGGGTTAGCAGTAGTTGTCAAGGTTAGCATTCTAAACCCTAGCCTAGCACTTAGCCCTAACATTTAACCCTAACCCTTAACCCTAAGCTTAGTCCTTAACACTAATCTTAACATGCAACTTTGGACACATAAAGGTTCCTGCACTACTTTGATGCGACTTTGATGCGACTTTGATGCTACTTGAGTGCCAGAGAGTGAAAAGGTGCATCAAAGTCGCACTACATGAACAGAAATGTCATACTTTCCTATTAGCCAAAAAAAAAATGCAAAAATACATCAACAACACAACACTTTCATTTTGGTGGGGGTTCATCGAAGTATATTACACACAAAACACACAAACTGCTGTAGGAAAAAAAAAGTCCCCTGACCTTTTTAAAAAAACTCACCAGCTCAAAACGTACAGATGTGAAACTAGATCCATAGGAAACCATATTAAATGGACTGCAGTGCGTTTTCTGCAAAAAGCACACTAAAATTACATAGGTGAGAACCAAGGCTTTTAGCAGAAAGTAGAAAATATTGTTTTTTTTTTTTCCACAATTTTTGGTATTTTCTCATTTATATCGGAAAAATTAAAAAAAACAAGTGGGGAACACATACCACCAAAAGAAAGCTCTATTTGTGTGAAACAAAAATTATATAAATTTTTGTTTAGGGTACAGTGTTGCATGACTACCCGATTGCAGTATAGCAAAAAAAATGGCTTGGTCATGAAGGGGGTAAAATTGCTCGGAGCTTAAGCGAAATTTTAAACCCAACCAAGAATTCTGCCCTTACATAACATTTTACTGAACAGGCTGTTTATGGCTGTAACCAGGGGCGGACTGACCATGTGGAAACTCGGGCACTACCCGAGGGCCCGGGGTCAGTAGGGGGCCCCATGAGATGTCCCTGGTACATTTTTCATAGGCTTTTTTGAGTTTGGGCAAGGACACAGGGGCCCCATGATCCCCTATTGCCTGGGGGCCCATGAGTTGTCAGTCCGCCCCTGGCTGTAACAGATGGGGAGATCAGCAAAATCAGTGCAAGAATCTCATCATCTAAATCCCAGAGAACTGATGGATATTTTGTCATATTATACTATACGTTTTTAAACGGTTTGTTTATATATCTATATACACATCTCTCAACTTTGTTGCTGTAAAATAACTTTCATTGTTAAAAAATAATACAAATATCTATACATCAGAACACAAAAAAGAAAGAAGAAAAGGGAATAGAGGGATTTGGTTCCAAGGAGTAGGGGCCCTCAAATCCCCATCTTGTATTGAACTGTGAACTGTATTGTTGCTATATTTGTCTCCCTTTATATTGTAAAGCGCTGAGCAAACTGTTGGCGCTGTATAAATCCTGTATAATAATAATAATATGAGGGACAGTCAGGACCTATGCTATAGGTGCAGGAGAATGTTCAGCCCTTTATAGTCTTCTTCCCCTCATGCAAATCCCATCTCTGCTTCCTGCCATCATCCTGCCAGCTAGAAAAGCTGAACTGACCCGGCTGGGATGTTCTAGTGAGATCTAGGTGTCCGCTCAGAACATTCAGATCATCAAAAGCCAAGAAGACAACATGTTTCTATTCTGTTGTATTTTGTGTCTGTCCTCATTTCTTGGTAAGTCTGGAATACAGAAAAAAGCAGGAAACCATTCTGATGGGATCATCTTATTTCTGATCATATTTTTATTCTTGGTTATAGGGGTCATGTCACAAAACACTTACTCAGCCCTCCTCAGAAATAAAAAAGCCGGGAGAGAGCGTGAAGATGTCCTGTAAAGGATCTGGGTATACATATACTGACTACTATATAAGCTGGGTTCAACAGGTTCCAGGGAGAGGACTGACATGGATTGGGAGGATTTATCCTGGTAATGGGGGGTATAGATTATTCCTCTTCATATAAGGAAAGATTCACAATAACATCTGATAACTCCATAAACACAGCATATCTACAAATAAACAATCTGAAAGTGGAAGACACGGCCACATATTACTGTGCTAGAGACACAGCGATCCAAGGATGACATCTGTCATACAAAAACATCCAGATGTAATGCTTTCCTCTTACCAGCTGGCTGCAGAATATCCTCCCTGATATTTCACTATATCACATCAACGTACACAAAATCCAGAACATTGCTTTTTCTATTAATTCTATAAACGTGTTCCTCTACACCAGTCATTTACCTTGCAGGACAAGAACAACAGATTTGCTTCTAAGGTCTTCTTTATTGTGTATAGAAGAGCACAAAAATTGAGATCTTGAAAACTGAGAATATGTAAACCCAACATTTCATATTCCTGTGCCTGCTGTATCATGTATTTATATGAAAAAGTATCCTGTTCTCTTTGTATTGCTTCATTTGTCTGAAATCCCTGGTGTTCCTTCCTGTCCCTCTGCTTTCCTAATAAAAACTGACCACATGAGGCAGGAGAGTACAGAGTGGTCAGTTCTCTAGCTGTGCTGAGAACTCAGACTGCACTCCTCCTCCATTGTACAGACTTGTCCTGACACACTTAACCCACCCCCCCTTCAGAGCCCTTCACTGGCAATACCAGTGTCCTGCTGTTTCTTCTCCCTCAGCTTTTTTTTCCAGCTGAGATATGTAGCAGAATATGTAGCAAAAATGTATAAAGAAATTTTGATTTTTAAAATATTTTATTGGATATGTTTTAGGCTAGGTTCACATCTATGCAGGTTGTGATTGATGCATTTTTCCAGCATGGTTTAAATTTTTGAACATGCATTTCTGATGCATTTTTCTTTAGGAAAGTATGACAGTTCTGTTCCTGTAGTGAAACTTTGATGCGACTTTGATGCAACTTTATACTCTCTGGCACTCAAGTAGCATCAAATTTGCATCAAAGTAGTGCAGGAGCCTTTATGACTTTATATAAAACTTATATAAACTGATATAAAACTTGATGCCCAATCAATGTGATTTAGAAATTATATAAAAAACATTGGTTTAAAAAAGTATCACATTCACATTGCTGCCAATCAAGCAGGATCCCTGAAATGTACTGTCTACTTTTTGGAATGTCCCCCCAACTTTTGATGGAATAAAGATGTATCTGGACATTTTTGCAGTGGTGTGGCATGTCAATTTAAATTTATGTTACATTAAACTACAAGTCAAGGAGACTATGGAAATCCTCTGGGATGTAGAATTTTGCCTGCCCAGGAAACAGATAATTAATTTACATCAATATCAGTACTTTAAGATTACAGTGGTATAACCAGTAGAGATGAGCGAAGTATTCAAAAATTCGATTCGACTGATTCGGCGAATTCGTGGAAAATATTCGATTCGAGTCGAATATATTCGCTGTGAATTTAACTTAAAAAAGGGTGTTTCTAGGCTTCAGAGAGACTTAATATTAGTGCAGAACACTGTACCTTTAATTTAAATGCCCTTGGAGTCTGCTGGGGAAGAGAAATAATACTGTCAGTCAGTATGACATGCAGATGAGTGCCGTCGATCTTAGAATCACCGCACACTTCACTCATTTGGCCAGTCACGGGGCCAAAACCAGTGTTTGGAGCCACAGTGTGGCGGTGGAGGCAGCAGCAATGGGAGGCCATACAGCAACCTATGACAAAATGGAAACCAGCAGGAGTGTGAGGAGACCTGAAAGTGGCACATGGCAGAGTGGGAGGGAGCAATGGGAGGCGGTACAGGGACCCATGTCACACTGTGGACCCAGCAGCAGCGTGACCAGGCGGTACGGGGGCCCATGGCAGATTTGGGGCCTGGCAGCACCTATGGGAGGCCTGTAATCTGCCAGCAACCTATGACAAAATGGAAAACCGCAGGAGTGTGAGGAGACCTCAAAGGCACATGGCAGAGTGGGAGCAATGGGAGGCGGTACAGGGACCCATGTCACACTGTGGACCCAGCAGCAGCGTGACCAGGCGGTACGGGGGCCCATGGCAGATTTGGGGCCTGGCAGCACCTATGGGAGGCCTGTAATCTGCCAGCAACCTATGACAAAATGGAAAACCGCAGGAGTGTGAGGAGACCTCAAAGTGGCACATGGCAGAGTGGGAGCAATGGGAGGCGGTACAGGGACCCAGGTCACACTGTGGGCCCAGCAGCAGCGTGACCAGGCGGTACGGGGGCCCATGGCAGATTTGGGGCCTGGCGGCACCTATGGGAGGCCTGTAATCTGCCAGCAACCTATGACAAAATGGAAAACCGCAGGAGTGTGAGGAGACCTCAAAGTGGCACATGGCAGAGTGGGAGCAATGGGAGGCGGTACAGGGACCCAGGTCACACTGTGGGCCCAGCAGCAGCGTGACCAGGCGGTACGGGGGCCCATGGCAGATTTGGGGCCTGGCAGCACCTATGGGAGGCCTGTAATCTGCCAGCAACCTATGACAAAATGGAAAAACCGCAGGAGTGTGAGGAGACCTCAAAGTGGCACATGGCAGAGTGGGAGCAATGGGAGGCGGTACAGGGACCCAGGTCACACTGTGGGCCCAGCAGCAGCGTGACCAGGCGGTACGGGGGCCCATGGCAGATTTGGGGCCTGGCGGCACCTATGGGAGGCCTGTAATCTGCCAGCAACCTATGACAAAATGGAAAACCGCAGGAGTGTGAGGAGACCCCAAAGTGGCACATGGCAGAGTGGGAGCAATGGGAGGCGGTACAGGGACCCAGGTCACACTGTGGGCCCAGCAGCAGCGTGACCAGGCGGTACGGGGGCCCATGGCAGATTTGGGGCCTGGCAGCACCTATGGGAGGCCTGTAATCTGCCAGCAACCTATGACAAAATGGAAAACCGCAGGAGTGTGAGGAGACCTCAAAGTGGCACATGGCAGAGTGGGAGCAATGGGAGGCGGTACAGGGACCCAGGTCACACTGTGGGCCCAGCAGCAGCGTGACCAGGCGGTACGGGGGCCCATGGCAGATTTGGGGCCTGGCAGCACCTATGGGAGGCCTGTAATCTGCCAGCAACCTATGACAAAATGGAAAACCGCAGGAGTGTGAGGAGACCTCAAAGTGGCACATGGCAGAGTGGGAGCAATGGGAGGCGGTACAGGGACCCAGGTCACACTGTGGGCCCAGCAGCAGCGTGACCAGGCGGTACGGGGGCCCATGGCAGATTTGGGGCCTGGCAGCACCTATGGGAGGCCTGTAATCTGCCAGCAACCTATGACAAAATGGAAAACCGCAGGAGTGTGAGGAGACCTCAAAGTGGCACATGGCAGAGTGGGAGCAATGGGAGGCGGTACAGGGACCCAGGTCACACTGTGGGCCCAGCAGCAGCAGCGTGACCAGGCGGTACGGGGGCCCATGGCAGATTTGGGGCCTGGCAGCAGCAATGTGAGGCCCGTAATCTGCCAGCATCCTATGACAAAATGGAACCCAGCAGCAGTGTGAGGAGACCTGATAGTGGCACATGGCAGAGTGTGGCGTTGGAGATAGCAGCAATGGGAGGCGGTACAGGGACCCATGACACACTGTGGACCTGGCAGCAGCGTGAGGAGGCGGTACAGGGGCCCATGGCAGATTAGGGGCCTGGCCGCAGCAATGTGAGGCCCGTAATCTGCCAGCACCCTATGACAAAATGAAACACACCAGCAGTGTGAGGAGACCTGAAAGTGGCACATGGCATGACACACTGTGGACCTTGCAGCAGCGTGAGGAGGCGGTACAGGGGCCCATGGCAGATTACGGGCCTGGCCGCAGCAATGTGAGGCCCGTAATCTGCCAGTTGACCCTTAGACCCCTGGTCTAAGTTCTCTGTCACTCGTTCTGTCTCCTCAGGCCTGGAGAAGCATTGGTTACAAGTAATCACACATGAGACCGTCTTATAAGTAACCAAAAACTTCTAATTTATTCCACAACGAAAGCTCTCTTATATAGTACAATATAACATGCAAGTGGGAATACAAGCATTTACGTCAATCCTGAATAATGATGAGAAGCAAAATTTAATTTTCCCAAGAATAAGGAATGTCTATTACATAAAAACTTATCTGCTACATACAATAGAATCTCGCTAGATACTTTTCAACGGCTGTGAACATGATCTTTCTCAGGCATTGTAATTAGTTTATAAGTAACAAACAATTATTTTCTCATGGAACAGAAATATTTGACATTTAATTGTATCATAACAGAAACAGGTGCTTGTTAATACAAAGAAATAGTTGGATACTTTCACCGTCTCTACCAAGGCTAAGCTAAGAAAAAAGATAGAAGAATTTTTGAGTATAGTTCTGTAATACATAACTGACATAACATATTTTCATTAACTCATTCTGGTTATAATACAAAACAATTAATCAACATGGAATATAAAATGGAGTGGGAAAAACAAAATGACAGACCTAAAAGACATACATTTCCCTTCAATCCCCTCTTAAAATCATTATTTACATATATGATTTTTATTTCCCCTTATACAACATAGTTCTTTTTCTGCTTCTTTCTATATTTGGCTAGATAACTATTGTACTCTTTGGGGTTTTGGGTTCAGTGGGGCAGTTTTGTTCTTGGATTTCTTCCTCGTACATAGTCATATCTATACCTTTGTTCATAAGCTTCTTTATACAGGGAATCACACAGCACACTATCAGGGCTAGAAGTATCAGGGTGACTACAATAATCACTCCTATTTGTGCTAGCATCTGCTTCCATCCCTTGAGCCATCCAAATATATTGATCCCATGGATCAGTGATCCCTGAATTCCTTTTCAACTCTTCCGACAGATCAGACAGTTTTTTTATAGCCATAGTGACCTGCTTGCATTTGGCCCAGTGTTGTCTAGAATGTAAGTGCAACAAAATGTCTACCAGTCTATGTATTTTGCATGTACCACCCTTCTCAGCTAGAATCATATCTAGGGCTATCCTATTCTAGAGTGTCATCAGTGGAGGAGGCTTCTTAATTGTTACAGCAGTTCCCTTTTAGGGCATCCCTAGTATAATTAACAAATCTTTTTTGATTGTAATAAATATAATTTATCCTATCAACGTTCTTATTTACGGCAACAATGAAATATAGACTCAAATCCAGTTGCTGCTTGGTTTTTGGCCTTGAACTTGTCTGGAACCCCTCTTGGTACCCCTATGGCATCTATATATACATAGCTAACATCATGTGCAGTATGATACAATATTATACAACCAGAGTAAGTGGGAGTTATCGGGAACATTGTACACTTTGGCAGTAATCAATAATAAAGGTGACAACCTCAGTATTGATGAATTATACCACAATATGGTGTAGCTTGAGTCTGTATTATCACCATTTCACCATGGCTAGGTGCCAATAAAATCATTATGATCAGGAGAAAGTGGCAGAACCATGGTCCAAAATTGGGGGAAGCAGTTCATCATTCTTCAGGGTCAGGGGTTTTCTACCCCCCGTTAATACCCCTTTTCCTTGATTGTCCTGTTCAAGGTCACGGGCTTTCTGCCCCCGTTAGTACCTCCTTTCCTGTTTCCTTGGGTCTGGTCCTGGACCTTTCTCGACCAGCTTCGCTCTGGAAGCATGGATCCAGATGGAACTATGTTCAGTGAGAACTGCTGTTCTGGTTACTGCTATAACCGTAGTTTCTGGTCCATAGGCGAAATCCTGCTGTTTCTTTGTTTCTCGTCAGCTGTTTCACCACAATAACGATCTCCGGCCTGGAACGTGTAGGTATTTTCCTGTAAAAAAAACGGAAACTTGCGGATAATAATCGTTCTCTTTTTGTGGGATGCATTTCTGGCCATTGGGAAAACACATAATCTGTGACCACACAAGCTGGTTGTTGTCCTCCCTTTTGTTTGGGGTATGTGTGTAAAGTCAATTTGAAAAATGTGTAAAAAGTGTTGTGGGGTGAGACAGGTGTGATGCATGGCTTTATTTGGTTGTTTGGGTTACTCCTGATACATGTGATGCATCTTTTCACATAATCTTGTACTAACTCCACCACTTCTGTGATATAAAAATCTTTTTGGAGTTGTTTTTAGAGTTGCCTTCCATCCTATATGTCCTATAACCATGGTATTGTGCAATGTATAATTAGGGCATTACACCGTGGGAATGCATGGTTTCCCCTCTTTGCAGATTAATCCAGTCCTTGGATTCTTCTGTAAAATAGGATAGCACCAGTTTCAAGCTCCTTTGTGGAAGCTGACTGCTACAAAGTTGTTGATCAATTGAAAATCATCTGGGTGTGTGGGTGGTTGGGGGGGGGGTGGTGGGAGATTGGGTATGGGAGGATGGGGCATAAAGTGGGCATCTGCAGTAAAGCAAATTATTACTGAGCTACCTTTTTGCTTCATAATCTGCTAGAGCTTTACCTTTTGTTATATCATCGTCCCCTTTGGTATGTGCTCTGCAGTGTATGACAGCAAGTTCCTTGGGAAGTGTGAGAGCCTTAAACAAATTGGCTACTAGTTGGGAATGGGCAAATCCTTTTCCCATCAGCTCCTATGTAGCCTCTGAGAGACCATAATACACCATGGTGGTCATACACTGTTCCATAAGCATATTTGGAATCCGAATTGTAAATAGTGACAGACTGATCTTTGTACAGTTTCACATGCTTTAGTGAAAACAATCAATTCAGCAGCCTGGGCTGATTGAAAAGGATTTGTCATTTGGGCCCAGTGCAGGAGCCATCTATGAAAAAACAACATCAGCATTTGGGATTGGAATGTTTTAATAAATCAAGTCATGGGTGAAATATTAGCCTCAATGGATTTTGAAGCAGTCATGAGCCTCGAATCCCAGATCGTTTCACAATTTGAGACCCAACAGTGCGTTTAGGATCATTGCTGGACCTGAGTTGTTTGCGCTATACTTGATATGCAACATGGGGTTTGCTCATCAAAATAACCTCACAATCCGCTGAGTTTGTTGGGAGGACATTTGTCTGAGTGGTGTATATTTTCTTAGTAAAATAGCTACATTATGTGTAGTGTGCAATATCATAGGGTGTCCTAAGGTGAAATAACATAGACATCTCCACAGCCATAACATAAAATGCCAACACTTTGAGACCACGCAGGCATGCCTTGGACCTGAACTGGCACCATTTTTGAGAAAAAAGCTACAGGGCGAAGTCTGCCTCCGTGCTCCTGGGCGAGTACAAACCAGCCATGGTCTTACAATTGTCCCTTGCATACCATGAAACATTTTTACATAATCAGAAGGCTAAGGCCTGGGGCAGTTACCATTGCATTTTTCAAATACACATATGCATCAACCATGTCAATCTGACCCACTTAAACAATTTTCTGACATTTTCTGGGTTGTGACTTGTCATAATAGGAACAGTCAGGTATCCACTGGCGGCAGTAACCAATGGCTCCAAGAAAGGAGAGCATGTCTTTCTTGGTTTTGTGGGCGGGCAAGTTTCATGAGAGCCACAGCTCTCTTTGGACTGACTTTCCTTTCTTCCTTTTGTAAGCACAAAACCCATATATTCAACACTTATTTTACACCATTGTAGTTTTTTTCTTTGACACTTTGTGTCCACCTTCAAAAAGACATTTCAACAAACTCTCCCCATCCCTCAGGCCGGCCCCCTTAGTGAGAGACTGCAGCAAGGCAGATGATATCCGCGTACTGCAGCAGGACTGACCCATAGTCCGGTGTCCACCCCCTCAGAGTGGCCTGGAGAACAGTTGCGTAGACTACAGAAAAATCTACAAAAACCCTGAGACATTAAACAGAAAGCAAAAAAAAATGGGTTGTGTCTCTGCATCAAAGAAGACGCTAAAAAATGCATCCTTGCTAAATCAATTACTAAAAAATATTCAGCATCAGACGGTATGGGCTGTAAAAAAATGGAATGTCAAACACCAACAGAACAATGTTTTATAACACAGTCAATGTCCTCTATTTCTAAACATTTAATTATTAACATGTCTCCTACAGTGAGAAATGGATATTGCTTGGTTTATATCGCCAGCCCCTTGTATCTGGTTTCTACCTGCCTTTCCAGGACTGAAAATTTTATCTATTCCTGCTTTATTTGCCAAGTCTTACTAATAGGGACCCTGATATCTCTTTTTAATCCTTCAGCAAAAAAGGTTTCCTCATCCTGTGTGGAATCAGTAATTCCTTGGGTGGGGGTTCAGGTTGATCTTTCCACAGCATCCTGGACTGGATAAACAGGGGATGGAGCTGTGGATTGGATTTAGCTGCTGCTGTGCTGCAATAGCTACAAGGAAAAATTCACGTCCTCTTTGGAGAAGGAAAAGATATATTCTGACAGTTCGGCGAGCTGACAGGACAGTAGAGCGGGTCTAGTAACACATAAACACTTATCACTCTCAAAAAAAAGATAGACAATAAGAACTTAAATATTGACTCTATTTCAATTACTTTGACCCCTGTTCACTTACCAACCGGGTTCACTTATTTGCATAAACAAATTATCTTATACTATATGCATTTCATAGTATAAGAGAAGCAAAGAAAAAGAAAGTTGGTTACCCTCAACAGACTAGTTAAGACTCTGTAATTATACCTAGACCCCGTCTAGATATTTCAAATGTAGACCCCGTCTACATAAATCACCTTTCCTTATCTGAGTCTCCCGGAGACTCAATGAAGTATTCCCGGAATACTCCTGTCACAGTTCAGAGATCGAGAGTTAAGTCAGAGCCCACGGACAGCCGGACAGACAGACAGATTTTGTTTATCTTACCGGGTGACCGTC